CACGATACGAAGCCGCACGCCCTCGCTTGAGTGTAGAGCGTCTTTGTAATCAGCAGCACTTGTAGAACACAGAACACGAACACAGAACGCAAGCACACTTCAGACACGAGAGAAATTTACTCAAACACAACCCTTCAAGAGGTGGTCTTCGATCGAGCAGCGGGTAACACGCCCAATCGAGTAAAATGCTTCCAGCCGCGCAGACGCACACCGCATTTGCACATCTTAATTTCCTATTTCTGACTAAACAGCTTTATTACGACAATAAAATATGTAAAATTCAGGCGTAACAATATGTAGATATAAACTATATAAGTACGTAAACCGTATGGTAATTAGATTTTTTTAAAAAGAAAGAAACTTGGAGCACTTAACGCGCGAAACTTGAAACTTCTGTTGAAGGTACACATTGAACGCGATTCGAAACAAACAAATGAACAACAGTGGTAATAACCGCCACAGAAGATTCATACATAGTAAAATGAAAAATATACAATTGTTGATGCAGACATATACATGCGAGATTTTATTGCTACTGTAATGGCTTTATATCACACAGATATGCCAAAGACAAAGTAAACAATGTGGGACGAGGCGCATATATATATATATATATATATATATATATATATATATATATATATATATATATATATATATAACCACAATACGTCCTTCTCGTTATGTTCCACGGGCGTTTATGTTATGTTTCTCGTTATGTCAAAATTTAATCCGACATTCGTATCCTTCGGATGTCCAAGAGAGTTTCAACGCCCATTGGTATCATGCCCTCTGTTGGCTGGTGCCCCGCCGCGGTGGTCTAGTGGCTAAGGTACTCGGCTGCTGACCCGCAGGTCGCGGGTTCAAATCCCGGCTGCGGCGGCTGCATTTCCGATGGAGGCGGAAATGTCGAGGCCCGTGTGCTCAGATTTGGGTGCACGTTAAAGAACCCCAGGTGGTCAAAATTTCCGGAGCCCTCCACTACGGCGTCTCTCATAATCATATGGTGGTTTTGGGACGTTAAACCCCACAAATCAATCAATCAATCAATCATCTGTTGGCTGGTCAATCACAAGGACCCTTCAAGACGCCTCGCATGCTGGAGCTTGCGCCTTCAAACAGTTATCTACAAGTCCGGCTGTGGGCAGTCTGATGTCGATTGCTTTTCGCGCGCTCTATTCGCAACGATATCGAGCGATGATGATACCAATGGCCATTTTGTTTTCGTGTGGCCAGAGAATCTGAGTTGGCCCGACAACAGTCGAAAAATTCAGAGCTTGGACAACTGATCAAGTACCTTGTAGCCACAGTTCGTGTCCACCACGGGCATTCGCACTTTCAGGGTAATTTCTTCGCAACGGCATCCTTTACGAAAAAACTACAAGCTTTATGCGAAATTTTATCTGCCAGCCACGATGAGCCTTCCTTCGGCCACTTGGGATTTGCGCATAACCTTGATCGGATTTGTTCTCACTAATACTGACCAAAGGTCACCCTGCAGGATGTCAAGCATTACATTAAAATGCGTAACTATTGCCAGCGCCGTAAAGCCCCACCTCTGCGTGCCACTGGTTTATTGAAGCCTGTTGCACCACCACCACGACGGTTTCAAAAAATCAGCATGCACTTGCTTGCGCCCTTTTTGAATTCACATTATGACAACCGCTGGATCGTAGTCGCTACTGACTATTTGACAAGGTACGGCGAAACTAAAGTCCTACAAGGCACTGCCAATAGGATTGCGCCTTTTTTCATTAACCACATTGTCATCCGCAATGTAGAAGCCACTGGGTTTATCAATATTCAGTGACGAGACGGAGGCTTCGCAGGCCTGTGCGCAGTGGTCACCAGATTTGCAAAATGGTGGGTAGGGCGTAAAGATTGAAATGCATGTGAACTTCTATAAGCGTTTTTCATCAAGAAATATGGTAGTGATTGCGTTAGTTAGACGTCTGTTGACTTATTTATTTGTTTATTTATTTACTTATTTATTTATTTATTTATTCACAAGTACCTTTCAAGTTTGTAATCTTGAACTAACGCCCTTTGTAGCCAGCTGCATGTATCCCTCACTTCTCGTGGTTGGAACATATATTGTGTATGTCTTCAAATTTCAAATAAAGTTGTTAGTTGCGCTTGTAGTTTTTTCGGGTCCGTCGTGTCATTTTTTTTTTTGCTACTTTATGAATTAGATTCAGCCCCTACCATCCCAGGAACAAGTCCGTCGGTTCTGCCTGATTATTACGTTCTCCCTCATGCTGCTCACGCTCCGGCTGTGCTTCGTTCGATTTTTGATGCCTTCCGGGAAATTGGTTCTGTTCGACGTCCACCAGAGGTGCATCCGCCGAGCGTGACAGCCGTGATTCCAGAGTCAGTTCCTCTTCTACATGCTGCAAAAGTGCTTCCGGTAGTCACGTCTACGCCGACTGTGCTCGTTCCGATTCTCTGCACGGTCTCTTCATCGGTGGCGCTTACCTGTTCCCCATCGGAGCTTCATCATTGCCTGCTTGTAAGGATTCCTGCTTTGCCGAAAGTGCACGGGAATAAGCTTCCTCCTAATGGAGGGGAGAGTTCATAGGCCTTTTATTTTGATCCACCGAACTGTTGTGTGCGTCTTCACTTCAGACGCCTTCTGTGAAATTGGCACCAGTACAGGCATTGGCGCCGCAGACTGAAAGGTGACAGTCAATATGCAGACATCCTCTCTCAAGGAGGGGAGGGGGGTTCCTGATGAGATGTTACTGCTGTCAGGGTGCCTTACTGTTGTATTTTCGATGTGCGTGCTCTACATTTCTTCTTCATCACGCATTTTGTATATGCATTTTGCTTTTTCTGCATGGCGTTATGTCTTAGGACCTCGCATGTTCTGTATTTCAAGGAGGGAAGATGTGGTGTCAAGGTTACGGTTTTGGCTCGAGAACCGGTTCACTGGGGCCAGGGGGCGCACCACCTATGTGTATATAAAAAGCCTGCAAGGTAAGCTTCATAATACATATTGTCCTGTAAAGAGTTTTACCCGGGTCCCGGCTGCGTCACCTCTTCTGCTTCCCGACCGGTGCTTCAGCCGCAACGTCCCACGATTTTCCGTGCGTCCTTTCCGACGCACGATACATCAACATTCATTGGGATTTTGTTTAATGAATAGAAAAGCCCTTAAACTCTCTTTTCGGAATCGGGCAGAAACGCTTTATGACGGACCTGTGCACTCAACTTTGAAACTGACACATTCTTTATTATTTTACGTAATTGTTGGGGTTCTAACGATGGATGCAGTTATGAGGGAGGCCGTTGTGGAGGGCAGCAAAAACGTCGAGCCCCTCGAGCTCCGCAACGTGCAGGTAAATATAAGTTCTCGGGATGCATATTACTATAAAACATAAGAAAATACCAATGGAGCCATTCTATTCATAACAAACCTGTACCTGACGTTTGGCGATGAAGACATTGGCATATCTACAAGGTTTGCTTCCGTTATGCAGGTTATGTAAGTCAAGTCAAAGTAAGCCCTTTCGTTAGAACACTCAGAAACATTTAAAGGCCTGCATTCTTGTTAGCATAAAACTTGGTGCGATAAAGGAACTCCAGCGGCTAGAGACAGATCATCATCAACAGCAGCAGCCTGCCTTTGCCTACTGCAGGGCAATGGCCTCTCCCATTATCCGCCAGTCAAGTCCAGTCTTGTGCTTTCCGTTGCCACGTTAACCCCAGCGAACTATTTAATCTCATCATCCCATATAACTTTCTGTCTCCCCTTCTTTCGTTTGCCTTCTCTGGGGATCCATTCAGTTACGTACCCTTAAGGACCAGTGGTTATCCAGCCTACGTGCTACATGTCCAACCCATGTCGGGATCTTCCTCTTGATTTCAATTATAACAACCTTCACCCCGGTTCATCCCTTACTTACTCTGTCCTCTCCTGATCTCTTAAGGTTACACCTACCATTTTACTTTCTATCGCTCGCTGCATCATCCTCAATTTATGTTGAACTATCTTTATAAGCCTTCAAGTTTCCGCTTCATTGTAAGTAGTGGCAATATGCAGCTGGTATGTACCTTCCTTTTATGGGTTAGTGGCAGATTACCAATAATGATTTTAGAATGCTTGCCGAACGTGATCCATCTACCCTATTCTTATTCTTCTAGTTATTTCACTCTCATGGTTCGGCACCACGGTTACTACCATGTCCCAAGTAGAAATATTCCTTTACGACTTCCAGCGTCTCTCGACCTACCGGAAAGTGCTGTTTTCTGCCGAGACTGTTGAACATTACTTACTTTTGTGCATTTTATTTTTGAGACCTACTTTTCTGCTTTCCGTGTCCAGCTCTGTAGTCATGAGCTGTGATTCGTCCCTTGAATTACACATAAGGCAATGTCATCAGCGAATCGCGGGTTACTAAGATACTCTACATTAACTCTTATTTCTAACAGTTCCTAATCTAGGGTCCTGAGAACCTCTTGCAAATACGCGGTGAATAGCATTGGAGAGATTGTGTCCCCCCGCCTTACACCCTTCCTTATTGTAATTCTGTCGATTTCTTTATGGAGAACTATGGTGGCTGTAGATGCACTGCATATTTCTTTCAATGTGTTTGTGTAAGGTTTTTCGGTGCCCTGATTTCGCAGTGCTTGCATTACTGCTGATGTTGCTACCGAGTCAACAGCGTTCTCGTATAGAGTATGTATAGGACTTGGTTGTTTTCCGCGCATTTCTTTATTACCTGATTGATAGTACGAATATGATCTATTGTGGAGTGCCCTGCACAAAATCCTGCTTGGTTTTTTGGTTGATTGGACTGTAATGTCGCCATAATGACGCCTCTGATTTCTTTGTAGGATTATAAGCGGTCTAACAAGAATAAACGAGAATTTATATTTTCAGAAGCCTGGAAGGCGATGTGAGCTTCTTACTAGCAGAGCTATTCAACCCTATTTCACACGCACGAATGCTTTCCGCCACTCCTTTTTTCCAGAGTCAATAGAAATGTGGAATAGCTTACCTGATTTGGTTGTGCAACAAACGACGTCAGTCAACTTTAAAGCCACGTTAGACAGCTTTCTCTGCAGTGATGATTTCTAACTTCCAGTACCAGCATTTCTTTCTTGATTTTTAATCGGCATAGTCACTGCTGTTTGTTTCTTCTTTTCCTGATGATGATTATTCATCTGTTATTCCTATGTGCTATTCAATACTGCTTTATTGTGTGAATAATGTGTATCATGTGACACCCTTCCTGTAATGACCCCATGCACGGGGCTGACAGTATCAAATAAATAAATAATAAATAAATACTTATGTTAGTTTTTATTTTTGTAAATCGTTTGTAGAGAACGAACAGTAAGCTGATTGGCCTCTAATTTTTCGAGTCCTTGACGTCGACTTTCTTACAAATTAAGATGATGTTGGCGTTCTTCCAAGATTCTGGTACCCTTCCCGTCAAGAAACACTTCGCATCTAAGCTGGCCAGTTTTTCTAACACAATTTCTTAGTCTTTCAGGAGGTTCGTTGTTATCTTATCCTCACCAGTGGCTTCGCCTCTTTGCATTCTTTCTAGGGGTTTCCTTACTTCCCTTCTCATTGCTGGTAGGATGTCGAATTCCTCTGGGCCATTATTCTTTCTCACAATATCATCCTAGTTCTTCTGACTTCTGCACAGCTCTCTGTAGAACTCCTCCGCTGTCTCGACTATCCTATCCTATTGATTATGACATTGCTTTCTTTGTTCCTCAATGCATACATGCGATTTTCGCCTGTGCTCAAGTCTGCTTTCGAAGCTTTTAGGCTTCTGCCACTTTTTACAGTCTGCCTAATTCATTCTATGTTATACCTCCTGATGTTGGCTACTTTAGGCCTATTGATTAACTTCGAAAGCTCCACTAGGTCTACCTTGTCGATTGAATTTATGGCGTTCATCATTTGTCGTCTTTTAATGACAGATTTTGTCTCGTGAAGAGACGACAAACGATGAGATAGTTTGCCAGTTTCCTGTCAAGTGACTGCACCTTCAACATCAATTAAAAGCTGTTTGACGATAATGGAAGTTTATCGTTAATTGTGTCAATGCTAACGTCGGTTATCTAATTTAGTGCCCCGAATCAATTGTGAAGCAACACTTTGAATTCCTGTCTAATACTCTCAGCGCCAGTTAAATAATTGACTTCTTGCGTATCAGTTTTTGTTTTGCTTTTTTAAATCTAGGTCAATACGAGCTCTTACTATTCTATGGCCACTGCATCTGATCTTGCTAACTAATTCTACATCCTGTACAATGTCCGGGTGTACCCACAAAATGAACTCAATTTCATTTTTAGTTTCGCCATTAGGACTTCACCACGTACACAAATCGTTAGCCCCGTTTTTTGAAGAAAGTATTCAAGACCCGTCAGTTATTACTTTCTGCGAAGTATACTAATAACTTCCCTTCTAGAACTTTTAGAGCCGATGCCATATTCCCCCTCTGCAAAGTATCCGGCCTGTTTTTTGCCTGCTTTGGCATTAAAGTTGCCCATCGGAATTCTATACTTTGTCTTTAATTTGCTAATAGCTGACTCTAGGTCTTCATAGAAGCGTTCAACCACACGACCATCATGGCTCAATGTAGGCGCGTAGGCTTGTACCACCTTCATATTGTACCTTCTTTTAAACCTAATTATATACTTGCCCCCTCCCATCTGATGCTCTAGAGCCCCATATGTTGCAAGCGATATTCTTGTGAATGAAAAACCGCACCCTAGTTTGTTTCTGTTAACTAATCCACGGTAGGATAAGACGCGTTCATTCTTCAGCACTGTAAAGCCGTTTCCTCCTAACTTCGGTGAGCCATGTTAGATCCCATTTAACACCCTCTAAGTCCTCTATTAGCACAGCTAGACTAGCCTCATCTAGATAGCGTTCTACTGCAGATGGTAGTCAAGTTAAGATTCCAATGGTGGCCTGTCCGGCCCCACGGATTCTTAGCACCCTCCGCTGCATCACAGGTCTGATCGGCACCTTGGTCAGTTGCTTCGCAGCTGCTGGGGACTGAAGGCCTAGGGCTAGTAGCTGTGTTGATGGCAAATGGTGGCCAGGTAATGCTCCAGGGTGCCCAATCTTTCGCTGGTGAGGGAGTGCATTACCGGCAACTGATCTCCAGTGAGGCCGCACCTCAGATCTTTTTTTTTTCGCCTTATTTTTTAACGATTCGTTCCTCCCACATTTTAAGAAAATATACGATCGGGATTGATTCAACATCTCTATTTGATCCGAATTTAGTCATGGCATGCTAGGTTGCTGCGCCATCTCTAAGAAGGGGTTCTGTTGCACTATACTAGCACTGTACAACACCACCTTACCGCCCATCAGCTCTCAACTTCACCTGACTAGTAGCTTGCGTGGCCTTCTTAACTGTTTAAAAACAAAACGAAAAGCTCGCGTGTTTCTGAACTTCTGACCCTGCGATCTTAGGCCAGCTTAGTGCCCTAGATGACCATCTTTTTCACGCGCTTATTCTCTACTAACTTCTCCCCTGGCATGCTCAAATTTGACATTGGTCGTTTCAAAGTGTCTGCAATGTCGGAGTTTTGGTGATTTCGAGTGTTCGCACTCCTACTTTGACGTTTCCTGTCCACTGAAGAGTTGCACGCACCCGTTTCGCGAACTAATCGGGTACTTCTATGTTATTGTTACGTTGAGCGTATACGTTGTGAGCGGTTGGAGTGCATGAGAATCAAACGCGAAAAGTTTCGAAGTGCTAAGGAATAGACAGGCGCTGCCTTCAAGAATATATTTTGTTTTTGTTGGCGCATTCTAAGAATTAAAACTTTGGTAAATCTATAGAAAAGTAGACAGTGGCCCTCAGTCGGGAGTCCGACATACGTACCTAGTAATTACATCTACGGTTAGCCTAGTAGCGTTAAATAGTGGATGAGAAGGTAAGGAGCGAATCATTTCTAGTTCAAGAAAGCGGTGAAAAGCAAGAGACTTCGTAAGAAAGTAATGACGTGTTAGCATCACTCACCCAAAAGCGTTGGTTCAATCAGACGACTCGCGGCACCATACTCATACACAACGATAAGTCCTCGCAACATGTTCTTACCCAAAGGAAACTATAAACTCGTATTTTGCGCAAAAAAGTGCGAGTAGGTTTTTAGAGCGACTAAAGAATAGGATAAAAATGCCGAAAGAAGGGGAACTAGTGGCAGAAATTTACTTACCCTGTGCCTGAAGTCATTCTTGTGCCTTGCCAGCAGAACGCTCACCGAGTCTTCGTTTTCGGCACAGCCAGAAGCTTGCTTGCTTGCTTGTTTGTTTGCTTGCTCGCTTGCTTGCTAGTTTCTATATGCTTTGGCTCGTACCCACTATGGGGGATCGGCCATTAAACCGGTGCGTATTGTGATAGGGAAAACTAATTGCTAAGTTTTGAAGAAGAAAAATAATTATTGAGTCATCTAGGAAATATATTATAATTCTAAGGTGACTTACGAATGAAGTAGGTAAATACCTAATAACTGAAAGTGATAAATGAACGGTAATTTTAAAGAACTAGAACTTAATTAGGTTTGAAAAATATAAAAAACACGAAAAACAACAAGAAAACCTTTTTGTGTCTTTGAAAAAATTCACAGAGTGCTACGCAGACACTCCACTCCTGTTGCTGTCGCCCAGAGAAGGATCCGCAAGGAAAATGATATTTTCAGTATTAAGGATAATGTTTATTTCCTGAACAAAGTTTCTACGTTTTTCTTCCTGTGGCCTGTGAAATGTCAGCAAAAAAAAATGATCTATGTTTTCTGGCTGTTGACAGTAAGAGCAAAAGGGAGATGGCATTTGACGAGACCTCGGTAATCAGAAATCAAGAGGTATTATGCAGCTTCAAAATTTTGTGATGCACACTTACAGTTTGCGAGAGGGGCCCATTAATTATTCCAAGCAAAAAAATATGGCCGTATTCTTGAACTGGTAATTTAATTTTGATGGAATTCCTGGAATAAAGAATATTTACGAAATCGGTATTTATAGAAAAAAAACTGGCATCAGATACAATGGACATTGCAGGACCATCTAGAGACAACCGTGCGAGGCAGTCAGCCATTTCACATATATATATATATATATATATATATATATATATATATATATATAGAGAGAGAGAGAGAGAGAGAGAGAGAGAGAGAGAGAGTACTACGCACGTTGGTTTTGCACAGCATATTCTGACTGACATTTCGGCTGGTGCACCAGCCGAAACGTCAGTCAGAATATGCTGTGCAAAACCTATATATATATATATATATATATATATATATATATATATATATATATATATATATATATATATATATATATATATATATATATATATATTGTGATGAGTGAGACAGACACAACACCCGTTCGTCGGGCAAGCTGTTCTATTCTGCCCCTTCTTCCTCGATGTCCAGCCCATCACCCACAGCTGCCGCGCCGCTCTTTGTTACATTCGGCCGCACTGTGGATATGACAAAGAAAAAAAAGAAATTACAGTCCATTGCACTTGCAGCGGTCCAACTGCTTTTTTCAAGCACGACACATGCACGGCAAAGTTGTTTCTTTTGCGTTCATCGAGTGACGTTCACATCTGAGGTGTTCACACGCCAGGTATTTTTTCGTACACGCTGAGTAACTATAAATGGCCCGTCCAGCTTAGGGAGTAGCTTCTTGCCGGGCCCGCTGGTGCTCCTTTGCACCCAGACCTCGTCGCCGGTGTTGTAAGCAGGAGTGGGCCTACGGCGTCTGTCATATTGGCGCTTTTGACTTTCTTGTGCGTGGGCGGCTTTCTTGATCGCCTTAGTTCAGATATTCTGACGGGCCGCTTTGCGATCGTTGGCACGTGGAACTATAATGGAAGCATCCAGACAGAGGACCGCTTTCAGCTGTGCTAGTTTCCCATAAACAATTTCGGGGGGCGTTTCCCCGGTAGACGTCTGCAGTGCCGTGTTAATGGCAAAAGCGGCTGACGGAAGGTGGACGTCTCAGTCGGGCTCTCCTCTTTTCCCTGCCTTCGTATATAGAGCCAGTCGTGCCTAGATGCTCTGGTTGGTCCTCTCAGTAATTTCCGATGGAGGCGGAAATGTTGTAGGCCCGTGTGCTCAGATTTGGGTGCACGTTAAAGAACCCCAGGTGGTCAAAATTTCCGGAGCCCTCCACTACAGCGTCTCTCATAATCATATAGTGGTTTTGGGACGTTAAACCCCACATATCTATCTGGTTCTCTCAGTAAGGCCGTTTGCTTGAGGATGAAACGCGGATGCGAAGTGGTGCTGCACGCCTGTCGTGCAAAGGTACATTTTCAGTTCCCCGCTACGAAACGTTGTAGCCCGATCAGATATTAACTTTTTTAGTAAGCCATGTCTCCATTCCAATCGGTGCTTGAGCAAGTCGATTAGGTAAGTGGATGCAAGAGATGGCACGGCCTCCACTTCCACGTATTTTGTCAGGTATTCTACAGCTACAATGACGTAACGATTTCCCGCAGGTGGTGGTGGGTAGAGGTCCCACGTAATCAATGCCAATCGTGCGTAAAATTGTTTCAGGTGTCTGGATTGGTGTTAGTAATCCAGGTGGACACCCAGGCATTCGCCTGAACTGCTGAGAGATTTTGCAACTGGCAACATAAGAACCAACGCTACTTTGCATCTTCGGCCACCAAAAACGTTCTTGTAGTTTCTGGAGCGTGGCTTGTCGGCCGGTGTGTCCGCCTCCTGGGGAGTAGCGAATGGCTCGTAATATTTCTGACCTGTGGGATTTCGGGATCACCAGGAAGTAACGTTCTTCGGATCGGTCTGATCGCCAGTGACGCCGGTACAATGCGGCATTGCGCATCACAAAAGTACTGTGATTTCCCTTGTCAGTGATAAATGCAATAATGGATGCCAAATTTTTATCCACCTGTTGGCCTCGGGATATAGTCATCTGGGCGGAAAAAATATGGGTTTGCCTGGTTTGTTGCGCGCAGTCAAGGTGGTTCCATGAGAGTGCATCGGCGACGTTGTTCAGCCCCCCGGCACGGTGGCGCACGTCAAAATCGTATTCTTGCAGTGTGAATATCCACCGGGCAAATTTGTGCTTAAGTTGCTGCTTGGAGAACATCTATGCTATAGCAGCATTTTCAGTCACAGCAGGGAATTTACGCCCAAAAAGATAATGTCAAAACTTATCATCGACGCTTCATACCCCTGCAAGTCATTCAAGCTCGTTGGAGTGATAGTAGCGCTCGGTGTCTGAAAGTTTTCGGCTGGCATAAGCGACCACGTGTTACCACGCCACGTGGATCATGCTGCACTAACACAGCTCCTAGGCCGACTTGGCTGGCATCAGTGTGCACTTCGGTGGACCAGTCCTCATTGAAGTGACTTAGTATGGGGCAACAAGTGGGCTTTTGTTTTATAGCTCGAAAAGCATTTTCTTGTGAGACGCGCCATTCTAACCGTGCGTCCTTTTTAAGAAGACCGCTTAAGGGAGCTGCGATCGAAGCGAAGTGGGAGTCAACCTTCGCAAATACGAGGCCATTCCAAGAAATGACTGAACCTGCTTCAATCAGGTTGGTGTGGGATACTGCGACACGGCAGCTATTCACTCCGGGAGTGGCTGAAGGCCGACAGGAGATATATTATGTCCCAGGTACGAAATATTGGACACCTTAAACCGGCATTTCTCTTGGTTCTAACGAAACCCTGCTGCATAGAGTCTGTGTAGTACTTCGTCCAAGTTGCGAAGGTGTTCATCCTCCATCCTGCCAACGACCAGGATGTCGTCTAAGTACACCACACAGGCTTGGTTTTTCAATGGTCCGAGCACTGAATTCATCGCACGCTAAAAAGTGCTAGGAGCCGTTCTTAGTCCAAACGGCATGCGGTTGAATTCATACAAACCGAAAGGTGTGCGAAAGGCCGTTTTTCATCTATCTTCCTCCACGACGTTAATCTGCCAGTACCCTGCGCGTAAATCAAGCGACGAAAAGAACTTGCAGTGACGTACTGTATCAACAGCGTCATCAATGCGGGGTAAAGGGTAGAAGTCAGGCATTGTACACTTATTGAGCTGCCTGTAGTCCACGCAGAAGCATAGTGATCTGTTTTTCTTGCGAACAAGGACGACTGGCGCTGCCCACGGACTCGATGACGGCCTAATAATGCCCGCGGCAAGCATTTCATCTACTTGTTTTATTTATTTATTTATTTATTTATTTATTTACTCGAGTACCTACAGCGCCCTATTTGGGCATTACAGTAGGGGGGAGGAGACATAAAACTTGAAATTGATACAGGGTATGAATACCGATAACAAAACAAGTAAGCATGCTCAGCTTATACAGTGTGTACACATTCTCGAGAACACGAGGCAATCAAGGAAAAGTAAAACACAAACAGAAATGCAGACAGAAATTGGCATCTTTCATTTCAACAAAAATTGTGACAGAGCATTTTGAAATGAGGGTGGCGGAGTGGATACAATATATTCTGGTAGGTTGTTCCATTCGTGTGTGGTTTTCGGGAAGAAGGAGTTTTTGTAAGTATTTATGCGACATCGGTATTCGCGAACTTTGCGGGAGTGATCTAGGCGAGAGGATACATAAGTGGGATCTTTAATGTACACGTCTTTATTTAAACCAGTGCTACCAATATAAATATTATGAAATAGATTTAATCTTAAGAATTTGCGCCTGTCCTGCAGGAGAGGCCAACCCAAATGTTTACGAATGCACGAAGAGCGGTTAGTGAAATCATAGTTACCAGACACAAAACGCGCTGCTCGTTTCTGAACCCTTTCTAGCGCATTAGTACATATTTTAGTGTCTGGATCCCAAGCCACACAACCGTACTCTAAAATTGAGCGAACGTTAGAAAGATAGAGCGTTTCCTTTAGTTTAGGTGGGGCCTGTTTAAAGTTACGCTTCAGGAAGTTCAATACACGGCTCGCTTTAGCACCGACGTATTCAATGTGGTCGTTCCAGGATAGGTTGCTCGTAAAGAAAACGCCTAGGTACTTATATTTAGACACAACTTCCAAACGATTGTCTCCAAGAAAGTAATTCGTATTTAGAATGTTCTTTTTGTTTGTGAAGTGAACGGTATTACATTTTGAAAAGTTAAGTGTCATGTTCCATGTGGTGCACCATGATAGCACAGCATTTAGATCACTTTGTAGTTGAGCAGAATCTTGAGCAGACGTGACGTCACGATATATGCAGCAGTCATCTGCATACATGCGCATGCGGCTGGATACTTGTTGGGTTATATCATTTATAAATATCAAAAAAAGAAGGGGTCCCAG